GAATTTGCTGAGAAGTAATCATTTTCCATCTTATAGTTCCTAACAGGTGCAGTATGTGCTAGCTTGTCCATGTGTGTGTCGCTACATTCCCTCCCCACGACAGTAAGATAATGAGTACACCGAGGACATCGGCACCCCCGGAGTCAATTATTCAGAAATCATGCAACCAAATTATAAGCAAACTGTGGGACCACAAGCACGTGATGCTGAACAAGGCTGTGGAAAAGCAGTGTTTCCAGTGTGCTTTCTGTTGATGCCTCAATGTGACAAATAAACGATGTCCATGCCCCCTTCTTGTAATTGTGTAATTGCTTGCGGGTGTGTCTCTCGTACCGTGCTGCGCGGAAAACTTTTGCTGGGCATCACATTAGTAACACCTAACGAAAACAAATACAATTCCACTGTTGACTTTAATAAATGAACACAGTTTTCCCACACAGTGTTTGATGTGACTTGAACAAAGTAATTACACAGTCTCCACCCCCCCCCCCCCCGTACCCCTCCGCACGGCTCGCGTGAGCACATAATTGGATTTTCCGATGCATCCGTCTGCCGACTTCTTGAAGAATATGTCTCTCTGTTGTGGTCGTCAGCACACCTCAAAATCAGACAACCGTTTCCACGTGGCTTTTGGCGTAGAAACGTGTTTTCCCATTTGTGGCACCCTCTTTACGGCTGTGTGGCACTTCGGGTTTCATGACGTGGCGCTCATCAAGTCGCGCTCGCCGCTGTTTACCGAACGCATGTGTGATTTGAGCCAGCTTCTCCTGTTGATGTGTTCTCTGAAAGAAACCGACGCCGTGTGGCTTCTGGTTGAGGGTTTCTGGGGTGGTGTGATCCGCGCCGTGGCCCTATTGGGTATCAGTCAATGGACTTATTTATCTGCTGGAAAAAAAAAGGCCCTTTTATCACGGCAAACTTGTGACAGTTCTTATCCAGCCTCCTCCAGCTAAATCCACAACGGCCTTCGGCCTCCTGACACCTCCTGATCAGTGTTTCGCAGAAGCTCAGTACCTCTGTCCTCTGCAGGGAGGTTGGAGTTTCCTCCACCCTCATGTTATGTAGCGCTATAAGGGTTGAACGGGTCCAAGATCACCCCCCCCCCGGCCCTCCTCCCCCTGGAAGTGATCACATGAAAATGCAGAACAACAAAACCGGCAATGCATGAAATGCATTCACTTGCTAGAGTGTTTGTGAAAGGATCAGTTGTTGTTGTTCTAAACTGGTTAGTGTGCATGAAAGGCTGACTTTAAGAATGTATTAGTGTGGACATGATTCATCATTAGAGCCCCTGAAAAACAATCATCCACTGATCTATTGTGACTTAAAAAACTAAAAAAAAGAGCTCTTTGATGATATTAATTATTTTTATTATTATTATTATATTAATTCTTAGTTGCAACTAGCTGTTTTTTGCAGCATTGTTTATTTTACCTGCACATGTGCAGTACGTACACGCAGGACGATGTTGGAGCAGGACGTTTCACTGTAACCGTCCCCCACGTCTCTCTGGCCGGCTGCCAGACCGATAAAAGGTTCAAAGGCAGCCGGAGGTCGAGCAGCATACTTTTCCTCGCAGCAATCACACGGCCAATCTGTCAGAGCCCTCGCGCCGCTCTCAGCGCTGCTTCCCGTTCACCACCCACCTCACCACACGTTGCCTATGCGCAGAAACACAAACGCCCAACCGGGTTGATCATGCGGACAAAATTCTATTTTTGAGAACAAGTTTCCATTGTCCCCTGGGACTGAGTACCTGTCTTCGCACTCTGGTTTGATGTTATTTCACTGCGCTAGAGGAGATGTTCAGCAGAACGTTGTACGTGAAAGAGTTTTGACTCATGAGTTTGTTTCCCCAATTTTGCCATTTTACCATCTGTGCCGGACAAAGCATCACGCCAGATAGCAGATGTGGTTATTCATGCCAGATCATTTCTTCATGGCTGTCTTGAGGTATTTTGTTTTTGGCTTCCAATGAAATCGAACCATATTTCAGATGTATCCCGCCAACCCCCACCTCTCTTCATCTCCCTCCTTCCCTCTTCTTTCCAGCCTCTCACTCTCTTTCCTTACAACAGGATTTAGCATATCAATGGCGGATTAGTTCGTTTAACAGAAGCTTACTGCTGCAAAGCCCCCTTTCCACTCGTCCTTCCAGCCTGACTTGTGGACCTCACACACAGATCCTCGGCGCCGGGGTCTTTGGTGTGCGTGTGTGGTCGCCGCTGCTCCGCTGAATGGATTCGCTTCCTTAGATGACAAAAGACGTGCTTCGTCACTGCGGGCTTCTGAGATGCCCGCAGTAGCCTGCGTGCGGGCGGCGGTGTGTGAGTTTGCAGATGTGGCTGTGTGTGTGTGTGTGTGTGTGTGTGCTGGGAGCTGCTCTGCACCCACAGGTTAGCCGTCAGTTACCCGTCTTATCTCTAGGATCTGAACAACTTCTGTTAAAATGTGCCCCAAACGTGCCACTCTATTGTTCTAGCGCCTCTCTGGTTTCCGCACGGAAAAAAAAAGTAGTGTCCTCTGCAGTTAAACTCCGAGAGCTCCGGCTCTGGAGTGGCACCCGCTCTGTACAGTGGAAAGTGTTGCACTTGGGTTGGGGGCAAGAGGGTGGGGCGGGTGGGGGGGCACTCCAGCTGGCTGGATACATGACCGATGTGCGTGCAGGTTGAAGTGGAGGAACGAGCCCTCTGTGACACTGCAGCCGGCTCAGGAAGGATGCCCCCACTGCCTGCGCGCTGCTGGTTTGAGCCACGCAGCATTAATCACCGCAGAGGGCGACGGGGTTTAGGATGTCAGTGTGTCGAGCTGGAAATGTTCCACTCGTTCAAGCACGAGCCTTGTGTCACAATCGGAGCTGAGCAGAAACGTTCTCCCGCTAGCTTTTCACGTTTGTGCTTGCGGTGCTTGTGATGCAGAGGGAATCCTCGTCCCACAGCCGTGAGATAACGCAGCGATCAACGCTCTTAATAACATTGAATAGCCTATCATACACCCAGCCCAACACATTGGAGGGGAATTGAATACATACCAGTGCTGGCGTGCTCAAAAGCAGAGTACCTTTCCTAAAATGATATCCGGATCGGTCCAATGAGACTTGCTGCGACGCGACTGTTGCTGTATACCGAGGAATATTGCTGCTTTGGCTGCAAGTTCTTTATCCCAAGAGTGAACTTTCAGACAGTTCATGAATGCTATTCTAAGCAGGCCCCTTCATGGGAAAACCCGTTGCTGTACAAGAAGCCATGTTGTGATGTACTTTATTGATCCCCGAAGGGAACATGCATGCCTCCGCTGGGAGTGTAGGTCGGGGGCAGGAGAACGAGGTCCATTGTTGGAGACTCTCGGTTTCTGCTGCCTGACAGAACGGAGCAGGCCTCGGAACCCACCGATTTCTTTGCAGAATGCCTTTTTTCGCCATCCGACGTTTCATTCCTCTGGCGCGGTTGACACGAGTCATCCCAAAGACCCGTGTTTTCCCGAGCCATCAATCTGTCTCGCCGTCGTCTCTGTATCTGTGTTCCTTGGCAGTAGAATGGCTCCAGGTGTCTTGTGTGTCCCGTGCCGAGGCGCTTTGCCAAATCCTGCTGCTCTGGGGCCGCAGAGGCATTGTTCTTTGTGCCCCATTGTGATTGACCCTGGTTCAGGGGGAAACAGCTGGTGGATCCTCCAGTACCAGCCTGCTTGGCACTGCAACTAGGCCCGAGCCGCGGTGTGATACAACCCGCGGTTCCCACTTTGACACAAACCACCATGGGCCCAAAGTGATGTCACGATGAGCGGGTCAGGAGAGCCGGGTCTTCTGTTCGCAGTTTTAAGTGTATGTATTATGTACTTTTTGCATGTGCTCGTATCATTTGCTTGGAGCCCTTTTCCTTGTGTCAAGAACATCGCTTCTCTAAGAGGCGGAGGGCTTGGCTCGGTACAGGAAGTGACTCAGTCAGTATTGACTGCCGCTCGACTTCCTGTGAGCTGATTCTCCTCTCAGGATGTTTACCACCTACTCCTCCTTCCCCTCTTCTCCCCCCCCCACCGCCTTGCATGATCACGTGACTTAACGACGGTGCGCTCGGCTCCAGGTCAGTTTGAGTCGGCTTGGACATCGTCAGTGAGTTAAGTTTTTAGAGTAGTCATTCTAAATTGATTGCATAGTTTGTGATTATTATGTAATCAAAAGAGTGGAATGTAATGGGAAAATGATATGTGACCCTTTTAAATGCTTCATTTGTATAACCAGTTTATTAGTTGCAAGTGCTTAGATCACAAAGGCCCTGACATAAGAACTGATGTCTCCCACTTGGATTAGATGTTTCCAGCGTCATAGCTGTAGAGATTGAACAAAGTGTTTGTTATGTCTATGACCACCTTTGTTTTTGAATGTTGGGAGAGCAAGGATACGGTCAAAGAGCTGACGTGTCTTACATGGATAAGATGTTCCCAGTATCCTGACTGTAGATACTCAACAAGATGGTTAACGGTTTCTGTTGACGCCACCGATATCTAAGTTTAGGTATAAGAACTGCCTCGATGTGTTGGGAGGAAGAAGGAGGTTCTTGACAGTCTACTGACCACGTAGCTGTTGTGACCCTTTTTCCCTTGCAAGGAAATAAACGGAGGAAAGACATACTTGACTCAGAGCCTTTGATTCTTACTTAACGATTGTCTGTGCAAAATCTTCCACCACACGGTTTCGGGTGTCTTGGCCATGCTGGAATCCAGATGATTCTTCACTGTTAAACAATGTGATAGTGTGTAAAGTGATACATCACATTACACATTACCTACTGCTCCTTCACAAAAGGGTCCTTTTATTGGTATTTTCTCCAGCTTTATTTGTGTATTCAGAGGTGGTTTCCTGCAGAAATTGGTTGATCAGTGTCTCATTGTCTCTTAGTTCCTGGATCAGATGTTGACCCAAAACTGTGCATTCACTCAAAATAATTATTCATCAAGCTCACAGCTTCACTAATATCGTCACGTGTATCTCCACCTCTCTCCAGTTCCCAGAGTGCGGCTTCTTTGGCATGTACGACAAGATCCTGCTATTCCGCCACGACTTAAACGACGACAACATCCTGCAGAGGCTGACCTCGGCGGAGGATATCCACGAAGGAGACCTCATTGAGGTGGTGCTTTCTGGTACGTCTGGTGCAGTGAAACTGTGAATAGATGCATGGTGTCTCTCATTGAATGTATTAAATGGTTTTTGCATACTGTTTTCTGCCAGCCTCTCAGATTAGCAGTAGTGGTACAAGTAATTGTGACTTTTTTGTTAAAAAATCAACAACAACAGACCTTTGTCAACTATCGCTCCATTCAAAAGTAAAGAATCGAAGACGAAGACATTTGATCAATCTATTTAATTGAGAATGTTTTTATGTTCAACCAATGAGAAATCAAAATTACTTCTTGTCCCTAATCATGGGAGTTTTGGCCATTTGGGAATATTGGGACCTACTTCCTAAACACCATAGCTTGAAAAACAGCTGCTAACATTAAATGCTGTTATTCCCAATGGGACAGAAATACAGTATAATGCTTTGAGCAGATGTGAACTGTGTATTTAAAAAAGGGAAAAGGATGGATAAAAATCCATCAAGTCAAAAGTGTGGTCTGAAGCTAATTGGGGCTGCAACTAATGATTATTTTCATGGTCATTTAATCTTTCTATGATAATCTTTGTGAATTGATTTGTTGTTCGTTCTACAAAATGTCTGATTATTGTGAAAAATGTTGATCTTGATGAAAGGCCAACATGACATCATCGAGCCTCTTTTTTTGTCCAAAACTCCAATGTGTTCAGAAACCAGAACATTTTCACCATTAACAAGCTGGAATGACCAATTAATTGATTATCATAATAGTTGACAAGTAATTGATTAGTTGCTGCAGGTCTAAAAGCAATAAACTGGAGGAAGCTTCTAGCAGATTACTCTGCTTTCACTGACACTTTGCTGTCAAAATGAAACATTATTTTCCCCCAATTGGGTTGAATTGCTGCCAGTGAGTCACGCCACACTCCTCCCGCTCGCTTACCTGCTTTTTATTGTCCTATCATTTTCTCTATCTTCTCTCACCTCAAAGTTTCCATAACATTTTCCACCCTTCTCACTACGCAGATGTTTGTCTTTTTCTCCGTCATTTCCCGCGATGAATGAATGGGCTTCCTGTGCTGAGACCAACAAACGGCTCAGAGTTTGTGTTCTGCCCTAATCTGTTCTCCTGCTCCGTCTGTCTCCACTGGAAAGCACCTGACACCACCTGTGCTGAAAATCTCCCCCTTCTCTCCGGGGATGAGAGTATTGTTTGTTGTGGATTTAGCCACGGGATGATTGTATAGGTTCAGGATCGGAGGATACTGCAGGCTTCACGGCCGAGGAATGCAGACCGAAGACTGGAGAACTTCCTTCTTTTTGTTTCTGACCGTCTGTGTTTGTGCTCTCTTTTGTGTCAGTCTCCGACGCTCTCTTTCCCCTCCTCGCTTTCTCTCATTGTAATCCCTCCTACCTGCACAAATCCGTCTGCAGGTGTAAGCCCCAGCAGTGGAGCTTGACAGTTTATAGGCTGAGAAATACCTGATGAAAACGGTCACAAATTTGCTAGACATGCAACACACACCGGTTTCTCAGTTTGTTTAACACTCAGCCAAACCCGGCCTTCTTCACCAGAGGGGGCTTGGTGTGGTGTTAGGCGTCTTTGTTTTAGAAGCACAATGCGGAAGATCCACCCAAGCCCTTCTACGGGCTCAGAGAAAACACCAGCCCCCTTTCCCGTACTCCGATTTGTCTCCCGTCATCTTGCGTTGAGTCTCCCTGAACCAACCTGCTGTCGGACCGGGCGGCCGCGGCACAGAGAGGGTTTCAATATCCCGGAAGAAGTGTCTTTTTCTTGGCCGTGGGCTCAAAGCAGAGGGTTTGTTTTTCCTGCAGTGTGCGATCGTAAGGCTGCACGGTATACCGGTATAAGATTCCCCGCACGGTGGGAATTTCTCACGTACCGTTGATACCGGTGTTACGCCACAACAACTGATGTTGCTCTTCGGCTGGCAGCAGAATTTCTTCCTACACGCCGTCACGGAGCGCCCAGCGGTCGGAGCTACTTGTCTTACGTGTGTTGAGATCGGCCGTCGGCCGTGTGCCCCCCCCCGACTAAATGTCACTCCAAAGTTTTGTGAAAAGTTGAGAGCTCCGTGTTACACTTACAATTACAAAAATGACCTCGCCGAACTGTATGCTGGTTACAGCTCACAACAAGAAGTAACGTTAACTCTGTCGCTACATGAAAACACGGAAAGGAGCGATACAGGAGGAACAACGAGAGACCGGAGATGCACCAACACAACTTGTGGCCAAGAGAGGAGCTGCGTCCGTTTGGAAGGTTTTTGGTTTAGGAAAATCCGACGTAAGTCCCGTTAGATGAGAAGACAATTTATTGCAAAGTCTGTTGAGCCTCTGGTGGCAGCACTAGCGGCCACAACAAGCTAACGAGCTAACACGCTAACAAGCTAACTCGCCGGCCGTTGCTCAAGTTGGCCAGAGGGCCGAACAGATGTGTGAGGTTTGGCCCTGATTTTCACTCCCTCAAACACTCACCATGATCAAGCTCCTTCTTCACCAGTGCTGGCAGTGTGAAATATTTTACAATACTTTCTGTCCGTCATAACTTCTTGTCAGATGGAAACTTGTGGCCTCCAAACGAACACTTTGTGCCTCTGGGCAAGCGAACTGAAAAACAACGTGTGGAGGTTACGCTCGGCGCTGCTCGATCCTAATTAACACGACGAGTGTTACATAACGCTGCGGCTGCTAAGAAGAGGCCAGTTGTCTCGAGGACGTGTGTGAAAAAGCACATGAATGCCGCCTTTTCATGTGTCTCGGGCCAGGAAGCTGTGTTCGCCACGAGACATGTGACATGCCGGAGTTCTTTCTTCTCTCTCAAATAAACCCCAAACGGCGAACCCCCCCCCAAACACTCGTCATAGTTCTCCGAAATGGGGAAGGAGAAAGAAAAAAAAGCCTGTGTTGATGTTCTGCAAAAAAAGTGAATATCGCAGATAATTTATTCGCAGCAGTCCCAGGAGATGGCTTGACAATTCTTGTTGAGTTCACCATGACCCGTCTTATTTGTTCTATGCAGGCCACACGTCATATTTCTTGTTCAAGTCTGCATCTCGTTGCAGCACCTGAGAACGTCTCCTCAGATGCCAAAAAGCAGATGTGATTGAGTAACCTCACAGGAAATGTACACAAACAAACTCTGACATCATAATCACCGCCGAAAATGTACTTTGCTAGTATAAGGATAAACCTTTTCCTTTTTTGTCATTAACGATTGAACAGGAACCAGAAGCAGCATGTTACTAGCTCTGTAGATTCCGCTGCGCACACACAGGTTTGTGCCGCGGTCTCATCCACATCTTACGCATCCTCACATCTTTGATGATTCACAGCCATGACTAAGCAATGCTTGATTCCAACAATGACTTCAGTGTGTGTGTGTGTGTGTGTGTGTGTGTGTGTGTTTAACACGAAACAGCGTAGACGTGTAAGAAAAAGGAGAGAGAGAGGCATGGGGACACGTCCTCAGCTCTGTTGGCTTTGATTGTGTTCAACAACAACAGACGGACTGATACAACAGGATCACTCTGCATTCTCCCTGGTGTCTCTTGGGAGTTCCCATTTTCATACATAAGGTTACAACATATAAAAGTTTCTTTGCAGATGTGGCGCCCTCTGTCGCAGCAGTGTAGACACGGCACTTTTATTTGTTTTGTATTAAAGCACTTGCGTAAAGCGAAAGCCTTGTGAAATATATTTGATAAACAAATCTTTTTGATTTCCTCAGTCTGGTGGTTTTTCACTATTTTACCCATTTGTTTGGTCTTCACCAACTTTCAGTTGCACCGCTTGTGTTTTGTTTCTAGCTCAAGCCACAGTCGAAGACTTCCAGATCCGGCCGCATGCCCTTTACGTCCACTCCTACAAGGCCCCCACCTTCTGCGACTACTGCGGGGAGATGCTGTGGGGTCTCGTCCGGCAGGGGCTTAAATGTGAAGGTTAGACACGAGCGCACAGAAAACACCTCGTTGACATTTTGGACATCCCTGCTGTGTCATTGTCAAGCCTCCCCCAACTCTTTTTACTCTCCTCTCATTAGGCTCGACCGCGGCAATTCAAATGAAGTGGCTGATTTATTTACCTCCTTTTCGAGCCGCTGGGGATGCCGTCGTGTGGCCGCTTTGCCGAATGAAAAGCATCTCTACTGCCCCAGTGTTTGTGACGGGTGTCGCGTGTGTTCTTTTCACATCTCTCAGGATGTGGGCTAAACTACCACAAGCGCTGCGCCTTCAAGATCCCGAATAACTGCACCGGTGTCAGGAAGAGGCGACTGTCCAACGTCTCCCTGCCTGGAGCCTGCCTCTCCGTCCCCCGGCCGTCCCCCGCGGAGAATGCCGTGGTCGTCCAGGACGAGGTGAGTTCTGATTGGTGGTTGGATAGAAGTGGGTAGAAAGAAGCGGGGGGGGGGGGGGGGGGGGGGATAGGTCATGCTTTTTTATCCTCCTCACGCATAAAGTGAGACGTCGTCCTGAACCAGACGGCGAGCCGGGGGAACTGGCCAAGAATGTGTGGCAGCTTTGTCTCAACTGTTAAACGCGTCTACACTGATCCAATGTGGCTTTCTTCAGTGAGTGAAAAACCTGGTCCCCGTTGTAGGATACTGGTGATGCAGAAAATTGAGTTGATGTGCGCGGAGCTCCGCCGAGAGATCCTCCTCGCTCTGGAATATTCCCCTTTTGTCTGCGTCCCCACAAAAATATCATCAGGAAATGCGATTATGCAGAAGACATTAAAAGTCAATGTTTATATATCTGCTCATTTATGAACGGAGAGGAAGGTTCACTCTTTATTTCTATAAGGATCTTCTTGCTTCTCGTTAATTTCTATAAAATCTGAACTAAATGCTCACATGTGGTAAAACCTGACAAATCATATAACCTTTATCAACCACTAACCATGCAAAGTCATGCTGGCTCGGTAAGGCAGATCTCTTTTTCCCTTTTCCACTGATTTATTTCTCGTCTTCTACTGTCATGCTGTTATTTTACTGTCTTTCACTTAAATCCTTTGAGGCAGTTATTCCTTTATTTTTCTCTTCCCTTCCTAAGTATGGTTTTAAATTTCTCCCAATGTCCCTCCATCTTCTCTTTTCTTTTCGCCCTGCAGCAGCGGCCCCATCAGGAGGCGGGGAAGAGGATCCTGTCCTGGAGCGGCAGGCCTATCTGGATGGAGAAGATGGTGCTGGGACGGGTCAAGGTGCCGCACACCTTCGCCATTCACACCTACACTCGCCCCACCATCTGCCAGTACTGCAAGCGTCTGCTCAAGGGTCTCTTTCGCCAGGGCATGCAGTGTAAAGGTAAGACTTTATCATTTTAGAACGTGTCTGTGATGCTTCACCACACTTATTATTCCTTTTTTTTCTCTCCATCTTTCAGATTGCAGATTCAACTGCCACAAGCGATGCGCTTCAAAGGTACCTCGGGACTGCTTGGGGGAGGTGGACTTCAATGGAGGTAAGCTCCACATCCAAATTCACCGTCACAATGTCCGCAATATTTGCTTATTTGATGTTGCGCGTGTGCAGAGCCAGCCAGCCCCGGCCCAGACTCCGACACCACCATGGATAACATGGAGGTGGACAGCGGGGATATGGATGGCGGCAGAGGACTGGACGACCCAGAGGAACCGTCCACCCCGGACGAGAGGATGTTTGACATGGATTCTCCCTTGTTGGACAGAGAGAAGGACGAAGAGCCCATCAAGACTATCAGGTGGGATGTCAGCTTGGGGTTAAGGTTGTCCTGTTTGGTATCTTCATTTCTCCCACTCCATTCTGAGGCAAACGTTATGGCCGGTTCAGTAGAAAGGGACAGGAAACAAGGGGGAGGAGGGGAAAGACAGGACAACAAATAAAGGTGACAAAAAGAAAAACAAAGGTCTGCAGCCTGATTCAAAGCGGGGACAAAGCGGCTGTGTTTTAAATCAACAGCTCTAACTGCCCAGTTCCTACATTTATTCTATACCAGCAGTGTGCGTTTCATGTTTCCAGTAGTGTTGGTCTGCCAGAAACATAAATTCACTTCCTGACCTACCAGACGTTGGGTGGTTAGAAGAATATACATGAGAGGATTCATGAGCTGGTTACAGGTCAAGTACAAGTAATTGTCACATTGCTTCACGAAATCTTGATTTTCATTTTCTTTTTTTTTACGTGTTTGTCCAGCCCCTCCACCAGCAGCAACATCCCTCTGATGCGGGTGGTCCAGTCCATCAAACACACCAAGAGGCGGAGCTCCACGGTGGTGAAGGAGGGCTGGATGGTTCATTATACAAGCAGGGACAACCTGGTAAGACTGATAACCAAGGAGCCCAGTCTGAAAAATAGCCTGTATGCTGGGGAAAACTCCTTCTCCAAAGCTGTTCACATGTGTTGAATTCAGCACAGAAGGTATTTTCCTCATGAAACTAAATTATAAAGCACTGTAACATTGGTGGGTGATGTCGTCCTTGTTGTCGTTTGGACTGACTTTGCGTTCGCTTCCCCCCCCCCTTGCACAGCGGAAGAGACATTACTGGAGGCTGGACAGCAAGAGTCTGAGTCTCTTCCAGAACGACACCGGAGCCAAGTTCTACAAAGTAAGCATGAAGCTGTCATCCTTTGCAAAATCACACACACACACAAGCTTTTATTAAGCAGAAAATGGAGCAGCTTAATGCGAATGGACTCAATGAATAAACTCCCCATTCCAGGTCCCAGTGTCTCACTAATTCACCATCGTGTCACTTTCTTTTGATTCAAACGCGGTGACGTTGGCGTCATAAGGAGTGATCCGTTTTCACACACATGTTTGCAAACGACCCGTGCCTCTCGTGAGAGGCGTACAGACACGGTCTAACCAGTGGTAGCCGCGTGACTCAGCTTCGGGTGTTGCAACCGGAAACTACCCAGAGGTCAGTTGGGCACGCTGAAATCCCCCCCACCCCGCGTGTTTAAATTCATCATCAACAGTCTCTATCTCCGGCTGTCGTCAGATCAGATCAAATCAGAAGGGGGCATTTGAAGGGGTTTTGATGAGAGAGTCGTACTTTGGACCATAGAGCTCCTCCGGTTTAAAAGAACAGTGGATTCACAGCATCTCTTTGATGCAGGGTTATTCTATAACATGGTTATGGTTGTGGTTTTAATAAAGAAGAAGAAAAAAGAAACACTCCTAAGTATAGGTGGTGGCTGTGAGTGGAACATTGTAACTTCAATATGTAAAATCCGTTGCGGAGCGTGTGTGACACTTCCCCGCTCGCTGCCAGCGCCGTAGTCAGTCATTACACTGCCGCAGGGGCTTAATAGCACAGTAATTACACGCTGTAGGACCCAGGGAGGGAGGCTGCAAGGTAAAGACTTCCACATGTGTGTTGGTGTTTTTGTCACAAAAAAAAAAGTTATTGTTTGTGCTGCTTTGTGTGTCTGGAGATTTTGACACCTCCTCGCGCTGCGGTCGGACGTGTGCTGCTGCAAGATACCGCGTGGGAAGTGGGAGCGAGTTGGCACATTCACTTCTGAGTGTGTGTGTGTGTGTGTGTGTGTGTGTGTGTGTGTGTGTGTGTGTGTGTGTCAAACAGGTGGTTTTAGACGCAGCTGCGTTCAAAGTCCTCTTTCTTACTGTCTCCCTTTTAGTGCCGGTTGAAAAGAAAAGAAAATCCAGATTCACTAACTTTCCTCTTACAATTATTGCTGTGGCGCGCGCTGCCACTAAAGACCGACTCCCCGGTTGTGTTCACTGACAGCTTTATGTGGTTCGTTTATTATCAAACCTGGGCACTCCGCTACGGTTTCAGAGCTGAAAGCGCAGCCGTAAATTATATCCTTTCATGCCTCCAAAGTTAAGGTCTTTGGTTCCATGGCTGTCGCTTCAAAGTAGCAGATATGCATCCAATGACAGATAAAGTGAGACGATTTCCTGTCCGTGCAGTAGAAAAAAACCCAGCTTCTCTCCGAGGGGTTCTTCCACCGAAACCACACGTTCTCCATGTGCTCTGTTCGCGTCCGGGAAACCCTCTTCCCCTTCTTCTGAGCTTCGTAGCCTGCTGCTCATCAGCGTGTTGGCCAGCGTCCTCCCCTCTCCTCTTTTTTTTTTTCTTCTTCATACCTCCACTCTGATTAGTGCAGTGGTCGCGTGGTGCTGCTCGCTTGGCAGGCATGGCAGCCATTTTCTCCATTTGGAAGCCATAGCCGCTCTCCGTTTGAGGATGAGACCCCTGTACTTGTGGCTTTCTCTGAAGAACCTTTTTATGGGGTGAGGGGGCTTCTCGCTGTCTCTGCCAGATTGAGTCCTGTCGCACTTAAACGTTGCGCTTACCCACACACACACACACACACACACACACACAACCCAAACCACCTACACACCACCAACCCCCGACCCACCCACTCCCTACCCTGCCGAGGAACAGTAGTTGCCGTGTCTTCTCGTCTCGGCGGCGAGCGGCAGCGCCAGCGGCTCGTGCTCAGATGGGGCCCCTGGCTGGCTCCTGCCTTCTAATCAGGGAACCAGAGCGTTTCAGTCCGCCGCAGGGACCGCTCACGTGACCCGGCCCCCGCTGACCACAAGCACTTCATCTGATACTCCGCGGTGAGCCGCGCGGAGGGGACAGCGCGCGCCTCCGCCGGCCCCCGGTTGGCTGGAGGTTCTCTGTGTTTTTAAATGTTTGACCCTCCCTCCTCCCTTTTGATTTGACGGTGGGTTGGACGGGGAAGGGGGTTGCAAAAAACGGTCCTCCCTGCATGTGCTCATAAGAGAGAGAAGAGGTGTAGGGGAAAGTTAGAGCTGGGACTATAGAGTCAACATTACAACAGTGGAGTGTGTGAGTGTTTCTACCTGTATTGCTGTTTTTGTTTAGCTGGTGCATTATAAGTTCTGCTTTTTTTAATTACTTTTAAACATTTGTATTTGTATAATGATTCAATGAGACATTTCTCATTCTCAAAAGGGTAATGTGACTTATCTGATGCGTGTCGGTACTGATGTAGAAACGCAGTCGGGTCCCGCTGTTGGACTCTTTCACGCTGTTATGGCTTGTCGAGCAGCGTTGTTGCTCCTCAGAATCATTTTTTTCGTGAATAGTTGTAACCTCCGTCCCTCGCCGCCCCTCCCCACAGGAAATTCCTCTGTCCGAGATCCTCCAGGTTGAACAGTCCGGAGACTACAGTAATCTGGCCCAGGGCAGCAACCCACACTGCTTCGAGATCATCACGGCCACCATGGTCTACTACGTGGGGGAGAACAACCGCAGCCACTATCACAGCCCGGCTCTGGCGGCCTCGGGAGTCGGGATGGATGTGGCTCAGGGCTGGGAGAAGGCCATCAGACAGGCCCTGATGCCCGTCACTCCCCAGCCCAGTGTGGCCAGTGCTGCCGGCCAGGGCAAAGATCACAGTGAGTAGAAGACGAGCGCTCTCTCTCGTGGAAGGATGAGTGATAAAAACAACTTGATAACTTTATTGTAATTTTCAAGGAATTGAAACATTCAATCAGATTAAATTAGACATGGGAATGTCATGTGCCGAAAATTTAATCAAGTCATTTTTGTGATTTTTTTTAATTAATTTTTTTTATCGAGAATGTCATCGGTTAATTGTGTCCATAATGAAATGCCGGGAGCCATATCTACTCTTTTGGCAAAACTCAACTAAATTTTGACATCAGCAAAGAATGTTGTTTGTGACTTCCGGCCGCGTTTCAACTTTCGGTTACAAGTGGGTTTTTGCCTGACTCATCAAGAGACGAAAGGTTACGTATGGCTTCTTGATAAGACAAATGAACTGACCCAATTCAGCCTCCCCACAGTACCCAGGTGTTGTTATATTAGGTCATGTTAGGTTATGTTAGGTCATACCATGAGAATGAGCTGTTCGTCTACACAGTTCCATTCATTGAGTAGTTGTAGATGTACATATTGTTGTAATGTATGCTGCCATCTCTCATTGCAAACAATGTAGCATCAGCAGAATGATCACAGCATCGTGTCTCCTACTCTCTTTCATCTCAGGCGTTTGTATTGGCCAGCATGTAGAATTGGCAACTGTAGGTGTTTGAATTCCCGACGATGAAGTGCACTGCATACTTGCACCATTCAGTCACATGTCCGCTTCCCAGATCAAATTTTATAGCCAATTTATTTTATAATATTATGCCTAATTATGTGGGGTTGTGAAATATTGCATGCAGCTGCGGAAGTTTGGTAGAAAAAATAAAATAAAATCTGAGCAGTGCGTCTCATACCACAATTAACGATCTATGCTTATGCTTTAATAAAGACGCGTTATTTGAGGTTTTTGAATGTGGAAACATTATGTGTTTTGTCCTCCAGAAGAGCTGTCCATCAGCATATCTGTGTCCAACTGCCAGATCCAGGAGAACGTGGTGAGTGGCGATTCCTTTCTGTTGTACAATTTCCCAGCACATTCATGCGAGGCAGTTATCCCTTTATTTTTTTAGTTTGTATTTTTTTTTACCATAACCTCCAGTGAAAGCTATTATGTTGCACAAATGGGGAACCTGCTGGCCCATATTTTTGGTAAAGGTATTTTCATCTCAGTTCCACTTCTCTATTGAGTGAAACTGAACGATTTGGCAATACCAGAAACATTTTGAAAGCGTAAAAAAAAGAAATCCCTGCCTTTTGGAAATGTTTGTACAGGGAAGCTCAAACAAAGAAAAACACCAGCACTAACAATGCAAATCCTCCCCGCGTAGGATATTGCTTCGGTGTACCAAATATTCTCTGATGAAGTGCTGGGATCCGGCCAGTTTGGCATTGTGTATGCAGGTATGTTTTGCTTCTGATATGGTAATATCACTGAGAATGGTTTTGCATTTGTACAAAGTTATTGATTACACCGTGTTCCATAACGTTTTAGGCAAACACAGAAAGAGCGGCAGAGATGTGGCCATCAAAGTTATAGACAAGATGAGATTTCCTACCAAGCAGGAGAGCCAGCTGAGGAATGAGGTGGCCATATTACAGGTAATGGCAAGAATCTATCAATGAAATAAAAATCTAGCATGTTCTGTAAACGAGGCCTCTCCATAGGCACTACGCATCACTGACTATCGCTCCTCAGTTGTTACCAGTTGAATTTCTGACTCAGCGAAGGCTCAATCTCTTTTGCTCCCTTTGCCTCAGAACCTGCATCACCCGGGTATCGTTAACCTGGAGTGCATGTTCGAGACGCTGGAGCGCGTGTTTGTCGTCATGGAGAAGCTGCACGGCGACATGCTGGAGATGATTCTGTCCAGCGAGAAGAGCAAACTGCCTGAACGCGTCACCAAGTTCCTGGTCACACAGGTCCGTGCTGCAGAAACACCGCTCTCATCCTTCTGCTCCCATCTCCCCCTTTTTATGTTTTACTTTTACTAGCTTTTTTTATGTTTTACTTCATGTCTCTCTGTCCCTCTCTCTCTCTGTACTACGCTATTTGGGGTGTCTGAGCGTCTGCTGCAGCTCCACTTTATTCTTGTGGTGAGCTGATTGCGGGGAATTGTTTATGCGACTGGCCCGCGTGGCATCAGGCCCTCCCCATCCCTGGCCGGGGATTACAGCCTGCAGTGTTCTGGTGGCTTTGTGGCCTGATTAGAAGAGCAGCAGGCCCCTCCTCCACCCCCACCGAGCCCGGGCCATCCGCCGATCACGGGGGGCCCAAACAGAAGCGGGGCCCGTCAACGACTTGCCCCATTAGCTGCGGCGGGCCCGGCTGTGATGTGGCCAGGGAGGACTTCTGTCAAAGTGAGGGTCAGGATCGGGGAGCCGGGCCCTCTGCGGTTTCTGGGACGGGGCCGTAGGCAAATGTGCGTGCAGCTCCCTCCTACGCCAGGCCCGGTGAATATAGATGGGATGATGAGATGAGATCATGTGTCCTAATGTGAAGGCACTGGTCGGGATGGAAATACTTAAGGGGCATTGGGGTGCTTATCCCCCTGGTATTTTTCCATAGGGCTGCGTCGTAGATTCAAAAGGTTACTCTGTTCATACCAGACGCCTCATGCATTCAAATGTTTGGAAGCTGGAGTTTATATTACTGTACTTTTTTGTCTTTTTTTCGCTCAATAGATCCTGGTGGCCTTGAGACATACTGCACTTCAAAAACATTGTTCACTGTGACTGGAAGCCTGAGAATGTTCTCCTGGCCTCTGCAGAGCTTTTTCCTCAGGTGAAAGAAAAAGACATACGCGTGTGTATGTTTTGATGCCGGCGGTTGCGTGGAGGCATTTGCCCATATAGTCCCACCCCCCCCCCCCCCTCCCCCCAGGTAAAGCTGTGCGACTTTGGCTTTGCCCGCATCATCGGCGAGAAGTCGTTCCGGCGCTCCGTGGTCGGCACGCCGGCTTACCTGGCGCCAGAGGTGCTGCGCAGTAAAGGCTACAACCGCTCCTTGGACATGTGGTCAGTGGGGGTCATCGTGTACGTCAGCCTGAGCGGCACTTTCCCTTTCAACGAGGACGAGGACATCAACGACCAGATCCAGAACGCTGACTTCATGTACCCCCCTACGCCGTGGAAGGACATCTCCGCAGAGGGTGAGGAGACCTAAGCGGTCTGTCTGCTGTTGCCTTTGTCTTCCTGTAGGAATTTGGCCCACGCTCGATCCAATCTGACGGTCAAATTGTACGTCCTGCACTCTTCTAAGCGCTTGAAGGTTCGGGTTAAACTTCAACTTGGTTAAGTTTAATATCAGAGTGATACTCAGGACGTGTAGACTGTCCTTCCCACAGACTTTAGTTTGTCTGCGGTCGAGGTGAGTCACACTCATACCTCCCCCCAAGCTGCTGCTCTCCCCCCCACCTCCACACACGAAAGATGTGACAAGTTGAAAGAACTGAGGGTGCTGTTTAGCAAACCAACTGTAGGTACCTCTGCTCTTTCTGATCGTTTCTCTTTTGCTTAGTGTCTGCCTCTTTTGCGAGTCACATCATCTCAAGTGAGCCGTGGGTGTGAGATGGCAGATCTTTGAAGGTCAGCTTATAGATTACAAGTCTGCTCATTTTCCATTTCCTTCACAGCCACAGACCTTATCAACAATCTTCTTCAAGTCAAGATGAGGAAGAGGTACAGCGTTGACAAGTGTCTCAGCCACCCCTGGTTACAGGTGACATGATAGCGTACTTTCTTTGACCCTATGACCCAGATTGTTTATTTTTCTCAGGCAAAAAACTGCCCAAATACGACATTTATGACATTTCTAAGTTGCCCAACTGGAAAATAAAAAATGTATGACAAACAAGACATAACAACTCTGCTAAGACCCTCCAAATGTATAGATTAAAGGCATCTGAAGCTAAAGTTCAAAATAATTGAATCACCTCTGGACTAATGTTCATGTCCCTTTTCATCCCTTTTCATCAGGACTATCAGACATGGCTGGACCTCAGGGAGTTCGAGACGCGGCGCGGCGAGCGCTACATCACGCACGAGAGCGACGACGCGCGCTGGGAGGAGTACGCAGACGAGCGCAGTCTCCTTTATCCGAAACACTTCATCATGGCTCCCAACCTGGACGACATGGAGGAGGGCCCCTAGGGGCCCGCCCCGGGGGGACTTACTGCACCACACGTATTGAAAAAAGAAGGACAAGAACTTTCACAGGGAGACTTTGGGAGCGGTGGATCTACTGAGCCCCCGACCCAAACCCCCCCCCACCACCCAAAACCTGAGAGAAGCCAATCGGGTGGAGAGTCATTCTCCGGAGGCTTTCAAGTGGGAAAAACCCGACAGAGTTTGTAACGCGATGCCCTGTTACAATGAGTGTGCAGGTGGAGATGCGCGCCACAGAAACGCGTTAAGAAACTGTCAGAGGAGAAGAGTGTTCGCCTTCTTTTTTTGCACAATAAACACATTCCATGGATTTCCTAATGCAGGGTTCTTTGTTAGAAACAAAACCAAAAGAAGGTGAACGTATTAGTGTAGTTATTCACAAAATATTTCATAACTTTGAGCAATAATATGTGTCCGTTCTTCACGTGAGAGATGGGATAGAGCGCTTTCTCCAGGATTAAAGGGCACTTTTCACAAGGGATTACAGTCTGAGAATTGAAGGTTTCTTTCTCATTTCCCACCTATTTGTGAGACTCAAACTGGAACATACGTTTAAGAAAGAAAAATGTGGTCAATTTTTGCACTATACGATCATTGAAGATAGCAATCGAATAGAAACACTATTTGCTTTGAGACTGGGACAAACAGACTGGGCCCAAAAATATTGATCAGTTTCCTCGTTTCCAGGCCTTTTTCTTTACGGATATTCATCTCCTGAGTCACTGAATAGTCATTAAATGCAATGATGGAGCCATTTCTGCTGTGTTCAACGTGAAGCAAGAGCGGCATGGACTCTATGTTAGAGCGTCATGTTTCTACGCATCCTTCTCTGTACTTTCACAGTATTCTTGAATGTGACTTTTCAAGCACTCCAATTCTGGAACAAGTGTTTCTGATTTAGGTATCTGAAGTGTTGGTATCAGCAAAACCGAGTTGTTGGTTTTTTTTTTACGTAGAACAAAATATTGTTGTGAGTTACCTTGTTTATGGCGTCGTCTGGAGCGTTTTAATAGCCCTTTCTGTCTAGACATTGGACATAGTAGAAACTATGGGAGTTTTATTGTACTGCAGTTTTGTTGTTTGCTCTGTTGGTGTGTCTCCTGTTGTCCTCTTTCCGTCCTCTATGTTGCCGCTGGATTGGCAGGTGTCAGTGTTTTGTATATTTCAGTACTTACCAATGGAATAAAAACCAATCTTCGCAACTGAAAACGAAAAAGTTTTCTTCAAACCCTGGATGTCTTTCTGCCCGCGCCCCGGACTTTAATAGTAGATTGTGTATTTCAGTGTGCATCCATGCATAAGCAGCCCTGGCTTATGGATTTGTGCATGTTGCATCACAATGCCAGAGAGCGAGTGTGTGTGTGTGTGTGTGTGTGTGGTGTGGTTTTTACATGTCAGATCCCATTCTCTGCAGCTGGATGCGATTGTTGCACCGCACAGCGCAGTTTTTACCGAGCCAGTCGCTCAACCACAAGGGAGTAATGGCATAGTTAAAGAGGGTGGTGGTGAAGTGGGGGTTTGTGGAAGACTTTGAAATCGCTATCATGGAGTCCCTTCCAGTATCAGACGTGTGCTCAGCTCCAGCAGTATGAATAAATTGTCACATTCCTGGACGGCGCTTCAGAATGGGACTATTGTTTTAAGGTCTACACTTCACTGTGAGCTACAGAGAATAGAGAGCCGTCACTCATTTACCAAAATCTTTGAAGCGTTCTTTCCATGATTCCTCCACCAAGTTCTCCCCTGCATTGCCTGTCAATACTGGCTGACCACTGTTAGCAATCAAGGCTAGCATTATTGCAATGATATCATCTAATAGCCCATGATGAAAGGTTGAAGGAACTTTTTTTTTTTCTTCTCCAAATGCCCTCCTGCATCTGGATGTTTTCAAGATGTGGGTTGTCATTGCAGGCCAAAGGACCCCATTAACCCTTGTAAGAGAGGCTTTTATAGACCGAAAGGCACATATGCAACACTCTTTGAGTTTGCTGAGTTGTTTGTCACACATTTCGCGGTGAATAAAGAAAAGCTCTGCTGAAAAAGTGAAGCTACATCTAACTGAAGGAAAGGATGCGAGATCAAAGCGGCCTGGAGAAAAAGTGCAATGTCTCCCTCTTCTGGATGGACTAAGATGGTAAACGTTTTAATAATCCATGCTGTTTTTTAAATGTTTTTTTTTTTTTTTAAAGGTTCATGCCCTGCCATAAAGTCTTGTCCAGTTTGTTCTGTCATATTTATTATAGTAAGACATTTTTCAAATTGCCCCCTTTATTTATATGATTTGGAAGGACAGGAATAATATTTGATGCAGTGTCACAGCGTCACCTTTAACTAGGACCTCAACACTGAAGCAAAGGTTTAAGCCATTATTGAAGTCCTCCCTCAACTCAAAAATGCTAATGGTCGCTTCACTTACATGTGTGTTAGTATGACCTTCCTGAGATTTATTGTTAATTCAATGAACCTTAACAGAAAGGACAACAAACAAGTGATCTAGGGGTATAATGTCCCACGGGGTGCCTTGTTTCCACAGTTGTCTTTGCCGCCAGAGGGTGTCACTAAATGTAGGTGAATACAGTAAAGATGTAATAGGATAGTATCAGTCTTGGTCGGAGATCTCTGAAACCGTGTTTGTGCGTGTGTCTGTGTGTATTTGTCGAGCGGCTTTGCCCGGTTGCTTCTCGGCAGATCTCTCGTCACCTCAAGGGGAGGTCCGTGTGGCACCTCCCCCTCTTCCCCCACCACCTCCACTCCTTACGTCCTCCATCCCTCCGCTCCTCCTCTCCACGCCATGCTGGGGTATCCATGGGTCTCCAGACCAAACAAGCAAACAAACGGCACAACACAGAAACCCATCACCCAGACATGGTTGATCTGGGCTTGGTGGACGTGGAGGGAGAAGTAAGGGGAGAATGGGGCAAGATCTTGTTGGCTTTCTGGGCCAGTTACCATTTCACTGTGATGCCAGAGAAGGCCTCCCTGGACACGGCTACCCACACTTCTGTTTGACTTCCGGTGGGGGGGGTCGGGATCAAGGTGGTCCTCGGCACTGACACATCATCTGCCGGCCCAATACACAGCTGGCTGCGGCCGCGGGCCTGTGGCCTTTACCTAAGGCGCCCTGTGCTCTTTAGCTGTGAGAAACTTGTTGGCGCGGCATTCAGCTGGTGGCCTTCAATCCTCAAAGTGCTGTTCTCTCAATCAAAACCTGGTAAATATGACTTAAAACCGCCATCCCGCACCCTATCACATTGCATCGTCTGTGAGAGCGGAATGAGGAAGCTAATTGTGTAATCGCTAAGCTGTTTCTCACAGTAAGTTACAATCAAATTCATGGCATGTGGACAACTGGAGACTTTGTTCTCATAGCACCAGTCGAGAGCGCTCTGCCTGCCACTAACTGGAACCCACTTAGTAGGAAGACTGTTTGGCTTTTTCTCCCTTTTGTCCTCGGTGAAGGGCACAAGTCCCAAGAAACACTCTCCTATCTGAAATCTCCAAACAATCTCTCACACAATGTATTTTCCCTATCTGTAATTTCCACATTAAGCACCAGGATAAAAAATGAATGCAACCACAGAGGGCATTCCCCTTAAGCATGTGTGTGCAGGAAACAAAAGTGTGCAAAAACATGGCAGGTTATGAACAAGATCATCTTTTCATCCCTCCGCATGTTTATTCCTCAATGGCCTGAATAGTGGAAGTTATGTGTGTCCATTTGCAGGTTTTTTGGATGCTGATAAAACAAGTGTTTTGCAGGGGGAAAGGGTCAAAGCTGTGTGTGTGTGGAGATCAAGACGTTCCGTTGTTGTAAAAAGCAGAGGAGAGAAAGGAAACTAAAGCTGGAAACGGTTTACTAGTCTGCGAAATGCAGATGGGCTATATAGGTATGTTTGATTTGCTGACTCCAGCTGTGCCTGGAGAATTGCCCTGACCCGTCCTATGGATCTGGTTGATGTGTGAGGCCACATGTACCCCCCGTTGTCAAAGGAGGCCAGCGCAATACACAACCCCTCCACCCCCACCCTTGAAAGGACTGGCCATTGAACTCTCAGGCAAGTGGCAATATTTGCTCACCTGAAATACACACATCTTGCCAATTGGGGTAGGGGTGGGCCTCGGGGACCGGGGAAGGACCCCTTGATGCAGCTGTGGCCCGGAGGAAGGCCAGACCAGGAAGTTTTGTGGCTGGGTGGAGGGTGGGGGGGCTCTCTTGGCAGGGGGCTGTTTAGCGGTGGCGGCCCTATTGTGTCTTAAAGGAGGCAGGGACTGTATTTGTCCGAAGCTGCAGGAGGCTGATGAGGTGCTAATCTGTTGAGTGGCTGTGCCATTGGGCCTCCTTTTCCCAATAGGCTGTTAGCTGTCAGTGCCTGTAAAAAAGGCACAATTTACGGGCCCCAGGCCAGGACTCGGCCATCGGTGTCCGCGGGTAAGCAAACACAGATTGAACACTTATGTTGTTCCTCTGGTAGGACGGGCTTTACCACCGGGCTCCTGGGGTGACACGTAGGCAGCCTCTTTTCAGTCGTCTTCATGAGCTGTCAGCCCCCTCTTTGCTCCTCTGTAAACACTACAAATTAGCCATCTGCATATGGATGGGCCGTCGGTCCATACAGGAAGGAGACAACCGCCTTGGAGAAGGGGGGGGGACGGTACAGGTTCTCCTCCAACGCAGACCAGATATATGTTCTCCATTATCATCTTATAATTTCTACCCTCGTGCATAGGAAACACAGTACGTTCAACGGGAGATTTATTTTTTTGACATGCCAGTTCCTGCTCGGGGGAGTGTTGTGTTCGGTTGTACGGTGCTGTGAAGCACGCAGGATAATGAAAGTGGAGGCCAGCTGTCTGAGATGGGTACGGGTCAGCAGTCAGAGGTAATCCCAAACTTGAATTTCCCCATCAGCCTGGAATACAGATAAGACTGCAGCAGCAGATACCCCCCCCCCCTTCACTCGCAGAGCGACTGATGGAAAAAGGAAATGGACCAAAAGCCTCTCTGAGATGTGGGGCGGAGATGGGAACGTGTGTGTTTTCTGGTCTATCAGAGATGGTTGCAGATGTTGAGCGATGCGGCGACCTGGATTACCGGGATTATTATTTTGCAACATTATGTCTCTCCAAAACTAGATTGAGATGCTTGACCAAATACATTTAACTATGCCATAGAAAAGGATGCTAATAGGTTATGCTGTGAGGCAATTAGGATTAGAAAGACCATTACTGATATTCAACTTTTTAATCAACGCGGCAGGTTTGCCCTCTTGTCTCCGCTGACGTAGGTCTGACAGCATGGCGAGTTTTAACGGCAATAGCTCATCCTGGATTATGGCACGGGCTTGATTGTAGTGATATTTAGACACAGGGCTTCCCGTGGGAGACCGGCACTTTAATTAACATAGCACTACTGGCCCCCCTCCTGTTTTAATTGCCTTCAGTCTGTGATTAAATGTGTATTGACTCTGCAGTTGGTCCACTAATGAATAACAATGTGCTGATTTGGTGATATTAAATCTTTTGGCTCTAATACGCATCCCGTCCTCGTTGCTCAGAAAGTTCAGACATTAAAAGGAACCATCTGAGCACCTCTATGTCGGGTTGGGAGGAAAACAAATATTATTAAATATATTACATGATCTCTTTTGTATTAGTTCATACAATCAATTGTCTATTTCACCTATAAAATTGCTTATAAATCATATGCTATTGATAAAATGTTGAAATAATGCATAATTAGAGCTTCACTTATAGATGCTTATGCTTACAAGTTGTTCCTTAATGTGTTATTTATGGTTAATAGATGATAACCACTTTGAATAACCAAGTTGCCAGGTTGGGAAAGACCATTTGGCATGTGTTAATATATGTATCAATGTTATCAATTTATTGATAAATGTTTATTAGTTACCAGTTACCAGTTTTTAACCAACACAGTTATAAATGTTGAAACGATGTTGATAAAGATATTTTAATCCGTCCAGTATAGACCTTTTCTACAATGCCAAACAAGGCAAAGAGATATTTAACAAACTGGCAACCCGAAATCTCTGTGTTATTAATACTGTGGTAATCATTTTTGTGACTTATTAAGCGATTTCTTAAAACATGATCTTTTTAATAACGGGTGTCTAATCAGAAAGTGGTAGTTGTTTCAAACACTGTATCACAACAATGTGAGCTCCTAAACAGCTCTAATTGTTGGTGCACATGCATCCTTAAGTGTCCTCTGATCCGTGCATCTCCCAGCGCTCTACTCTCCTCCTGTGGTCTAATAGATAAACTGTCACCTTGTTTGATAAATGAAGGCCGGTGGTCAACATAAGGCCCTTTACCATGACAAGAGAGAAGTATTGAATCTGCAACGCCGTGGATACAGTCAACATGAAGCATATCGGATGGCATTCCTCGCCAACATTCCTCTCAATATCAAAAGGTGCGTATTTGAGGATATCCTTAGTGCGTTTACGCCTGTGTTTGCGCCCTGACCCACTGGGGCCAGTGCAATAACTTTGGACCCCCTCCCACGCGGCATCTCGTTGCAATGAACACTCTCGCTTTTTTATTTAGCTGGGTTGTGTGCCTTCCCAGTCCGGGGCGCTTTTCAGATTCATTTCCAGGTAAACACAGGGTGGCCAGCCACAAACCTGCGGCCAACAGGCGTTGTCACAGCTGTGGCAGATAATGGCAAGTCCAAACTCCAGCCCGGCTCTGGAATGTTTACTGTCACCACAGGCAAGTTGGCAGCAAACATTTTTTTTTTTCTTTCCCCTTCGGCTCTTTCTCAGAAGAAGACTTTCTCGTTATTAATTTTATTTTGATGAATCACATGCTTAACCCTTTGCCCTGTGCGGCTTTTGTGTGACTTGACTGCACTCAGACGTGCACAAAGGGACACACGGAAAAAACGAAAGACATTCTTAAGTGGATCTTTTGATTTTAGTTTAAAAAAAAAAAGAGAAATCCTGAATGCAAGTTGAAACTTGAAGTTAACACGTTCCTGCCAACAACTCCTGGGCGTTTGGAGGAATGTTCCGAGAGTTCCGCCTTCCTCTCACAGCCCAGGGAGCACCCTGTTTTCATCCCGCTGCCCTGCACCCAAAAAACCAACAGCATCTGTACCGGCAAACTCGGCTATAGTGTCACTTTGGGGCCTCGCTTCTATGCAAGTGTTTGTGCTTTCACTTCTTTAACTGACTCATTACACTTTTATCATTTAGTGTTTGCCCTCGTCATAACCAGTAAACGAATGACGCCCAGATGTGTGAAATGTAACGGCGATCATCATGGAGGTTAATTGTCGGGTGTCGAGAGAGGAGACATGTTGGGCACTTCATACGCTGGAGTGGGAGGCTTGAATTTTAAGCTTACAAAAAGCTCAGCAGCAAATCAATTTAAATGTGATGTTAAGGAAGAACAGACATGAGTTCATTCTTTTATTTTACGTTTTCCAAATCTGTAACTTCTATTATCAGCTTGCAGCAAATCTTCTCACTGACATAATTGCAAGGGTTCCGCATGACCATAAGACACACCGAAGCAATATTCTGGCTTCTTTTGTAATGAATTAATGAATAAATAATTTGTTTCATCGAAGTAAGATGCAATGCATTTGAATTTGTGATATTTTATGCATTACTTGACTTCAAACAAGGATCAGTGAAAAACTGATGCAAGCTTAGAAACATTTGGCGCTGTTTGTTAGTGTGATTGTGCTTAATCGTGCAGAATCTATTGGCATGTTGTAATTCCAATCACAGAAAAAGGAAAAGGACGAATGGGTCTGATACGTTTATAATAGTTTCTTTAATTTCTGCCTGAACTATTGCAAATGGCTTCTGAGTGATGTCCCTCTTTGTCGTTACAGGTTTCCCAACGTTCTCAGGAGGATAATTCTCCCAGAGCCCCCCCCACCACACTCTTTAGTACCTGCATGGAGCACTGTATTAGCATACACATAACACCTACATATTAATGAAAAATACTAATAAAACAGGAACAAAAAGAAGAGCAGCACAGTGGATTCTTTTGTTTCTGACCAAATCCAAAATGTGACCTTCACCCATGTGAGAGGACTCCAGCAGGTTGATGATTAACTGTGGAATTAACAACATGCCTCATTCAGGAACACAGTGTCATGCAGGTCAAGGACCAGTTCAAAATAAAAAGGATTTGGCACCTTTAAAATCTTTTTGCAATATATACACAAAGGATTTTTAAGAGGCACGACACTGTGCATTTCTTTTACAGTAAGAACGTGCAGTTGTGGACTGTTTATGCTTACTTTGAGCACCAGAAATATATACTCCATCTTTTATTTCAATGTTTTATATTTTAAAATAATATCTTGCGTCCATTATTCTTACCTGTAAGTGTATCCTAAAATATCTCCATCTGACATGTTTCCACAGCTGGAAATATCTGCGGCGATAATTACATCCACTATACACAATAAGTGCTACATATTTATTTAATTAAACAGATCGTCTATCATTAAGACACTATTTCAGAATTTGTTTGAATTATTAAAGAAAATATTAGCCTAACAAGTCGCGCCGACAGAGCGCAGCTCTCCAGCTCTCTGCGGTGAAATCCCCAATCCTCAAACACACACAGTCTTTTTCTCATGATCTCATTTCCAAGTTAAGCAGACTCTGTTAGTCCCTCGTCAACACCACAGGTTTGCTTGCCTTTACTAATGGGTCTTATACTGATAGTTATGCTCTTGCGTAAATATGCAGTCAAATAGATGTACCACTACTGACACGTGGCTGGCACCGGACCGCAGCATCACCTCGGTGTTCGTGTCTGTAAATACTGGACAGCAGCAGCAGCAGCCCGGTTCTGTCCGGCAGTAAATAAATAAAAAGAAAAAAACTTTCAGCACGATGTCGGAATATTAACAAAAAAAATGTATTCACCCGATGTAATTCAGAATAAGAAAAAAACACGCGGACAGATAAATAGGTGGCTGAACGACTTGGAGCGTTTGACAGCTTCCAACAAACGCACGTTTATTGTCGCTTTTAATTGTGTGGAATCTATTTGGTGCCAAACGTGCAAAGAAAGCGTAAATCATTTGCATTCATTCCAAAAACGTTCCACCGACTTCAGAACGACGGGACCGCCACCATCGAGAAGGATGAAGCCACGCTGGAGGCACCGTCCAGGAGAGGGCGCTCTGAAGCTGTGCCTGGCATGCGCAACGCTAATTAAAACGCTCGAAAGCAGTGATGCAGTTCTCCAGGTTAGTACGCGGAAGAACCAAATCTCTCCTTTGTGAAAATATTGTCGAAATCTTTGAGGAGGGTTAAAAAAAAAAAAACATTGGAAAAGGCACAACGATGGGGAGACCAACCGATTTGCATCAGGATCTGATTGTTAAACAGCAGGAGAGTGAAGAAAGGGCTTTTATTCTCACAAAAGGACTCATTCGAGTGTGCACTGCAGTGTAGCCCATGTGCACATGCATGCATGAATGCACGCTGTTATCAACCTAAAGCCTGACGTACATCACGTACATGAGTAACACATAAATAAAATAGCAACACGACCCTGACAACGAACTGCGATATTATAAGTAAATGGTTGTAAAATATGTTTTCCTTCAATAAACCAGCCCGTATCTCATGTATTCATGTTTTCACGCTGTGTTTTGTTTACAGAGTAAATTAATTAACAGCTGTAAGTTCGAGGCTATAAACTCCTTAAACGCGGCGCAATAATAACGCTTTGAGGTTTAATCTAAATTGAAGTGGAATAACCCCTTTTTTTGGGGGGGGGGGGGGGGGGGGGGGGTTGTGCGTCATGAAAAGCGCACCAAAGAACAGCGCCAGACATTCCTTTTATAGCCCTTCTTTTTTTTTTTTTTTTTTTGTTAGCCCCATCCAAACTACAATACTTCATAATGAGGCTTTTCTTATAAGAAACTGTTCTTTTCAGTCGGTGCAGGTGTACGATTGGGTTGGAGGGGGGTGGGTGGGGGGAGGCGGGGGGGCGGGGGGGAGCCTGAGGAGTCTCACGCCTAGGTGCGAGGAGATTATTCAAATAGGGCCCAAGGCGTAGAAGTAGGGATTGGAGGCTTGCCTGGCGCTCAGAGCTATATCACAGCGTTAACAGGCAGCACGGAGCGTCATTTCAACTCCGGTCACCGACAGACGCATTTCACGGCTGGATCCATAAGACACGCACGCACACACACACGCACATCAACGCCAGTTCTCGACGAGGGGGGAACCACCGGAGAGCCAAACGCACCCAGTGGTCCCAAATCAACTGCTATCAGAGAGGCTTTGGGCTTTTCCCCGGCTGGGAGACGCTTTGTGAAGGTCCTCCATGATGCTTGGAGCAGTTAAAATGGAAGGACACGAACACACCGACTGGAGCACCTACTACGCAGAGCCTGAGGTGGGTACCTTAAATATATATATATATTTTCCCTCCTAAAGCCAATCCCATTTTATACAACTCAATATTAGCACTGAGATAATATTAACTTTGTGATCAAATATTGACTTGAGGCGCCTCCAAATCCTCCCCTATTTCCACGCGGCGCATTATCTAAACAAAGTTCTTTGACTTTTAGGGGGGGTGGGGGGGGGGTGCAGGGGAGAGAGAGAGAGAGAGAAACTTTTCACATGGATTACGATTTCAAAAGTCTATACGTATATCTTTACTAAATTATTTTATTATTTTTTTGCCATATTTACCCCCAACAAACACCTGAGCTGTTTGTTTTTTGGGGGAGAATGATTCAAATATTTGTGCGGCAGTCATATTTGGTGTCAACATTATCAAGGGCAGCGTGTGTTTTCAGGGGATAATTTCACTTAATTTACACCAGTGGTTGAACACTTGCAGCTATGTCTTTTCATTTATTTTAATTTCAAAACGATTAGGAAGCAGGAAGCAAAAGTAAATGCGTCCGTTTTGAGCCGGTGCGCGTTTCAAATAACTTATTTATTCTGAATGAATGCAATCAAATGTACAAATATTACATAAAAACCACGTATTGTGATAAATAATTTACACCGTATGATGAAACTGATGATTGCCTATTTCTCTCACTGACAGTGTTACACCTCGGTTGGCAACATGAACACCGGCCTGGGAATGAACTCTATGAATACCTACATGAGCATGTCCGGCATGGGCACCCCTGCCAACATGACGGCCAACTCCATGAACATGTCCTACGTCAACACGGGCATGAGTCCCTCCATGACCGGCATGTCGCCGAGCACCGGCGCCATGAACGGCATGGGCGCGGGCATGACGGCCATGAGCGCAGCCCTGAGCCCCAGCATGAGCCCCATGACCGCGCAGCCCGCGTCCATGAACGCGCTTGCGTCCTACACCAACATGAACGCCATGAGCCCCATTTACGGACAGTCCGGCATCAACAGGTCCAGAGACCCCAAGACCTACCGCAGGAGCTACACGCACGCCAAGCCGCCGTATTCCTACATTTCCCTCATCACCATGGCCATCCAGCAGTCTCCCAGCAAGATGCTGACTCTGGCCGAGATCTACCAGTGGATAATGGACCTCTTCCCTTTTTACCGACAGAATCAGCAGCGCTGGCAGAACTCCATCCGCCACTCTTTGTCGTTCAATGACTGTTTCCTCAAAGTGCCCAGGTCGCCGGATAAGCCCGGCAAAGGCTCCTTTTGGACTCTCCACCCGGACTCCGGCAACATGTTCGAGAACGGCTGCTACCTGAGGAGGCAGAAGCGCTTCAAGTGCGACAAGAAGATGAACCCGAAGGACAGCGGCCGCAAAGGGGGAGACGGCGGCTCCTCCAACAGCAGCTCGGAGAGCTGCAACGGCAACGAGTCCCCGCACTCCAACTCCTCCTCCGGGGAGCACAAAAGGTCCATGTCGGACATGAAGGCGGGCCAGGCCATGAGCCCGGAGCACGCCGCCGCCTCGCCGGTGTCGCAGGGGCAGCAGCACCTCATGTCTCAGCATCACTCGGTCCTTGCGCACGACGCGCACATGAAGCCGGAGCACCACTACTCCTTCAACCACCCCTTCTCCATAAATAACCTCATGTCGTCGGAGCAGCAGCACCACAAAATGGACCTAAAGACTTACGAGCAGGTGATGCATTACTCCGGCTATGGTTCCCAAATGCCGGGGGGTCTTTCTATGGGCTCCATGGCGGGGAAAGCCGGGCTGGATTCCTCGTCCATGGCCGATACGTCTTACTACCAAGGCGTCTATTCCAGGCCAATCATGAACTCCTCATAAACTCTTTACCCCTCAACGTGACGTGGACTTTCTCCCCCCTTCAGTTTGTACATTTGTAAAAAAAATATAGATTTTGTGTACGATACGTATTTCAGATATTTTTGACGTTTCCCACCGTTTTAGTTGTCGAGTTTGTTCGTAGCATAATTATTTTGTTGATGATAATGAATAAAAGTAAAGATAATGTGACGAGATCTGTTCGGCTTCAGGAATGGACCCCAAAGAAAAAACAACAACAACAACAACAACAACAACAACTTGCTGTAAAAAAGCCTCCATCTGCAACTGGATTCCTATATGAATTTAAATGCCTCGCAGGATTTCTTCAATCATTTGTGTAATTCCTATTTATGGCTTCTATATGTGTATTCTTGTAGTGACAAGAACAGAATCTATATTAAAGTGTTATTGGTTTTGTTTTCTGAATATGCTGGTGTTATTATTATTATTATTATTACTAAACAACAATATACTCCAGAGGAGGCAACAAGCGTCTCCACCAAGATGAACCATCACAGACGTTGTGATCCCATTGAAGGTGGATTTAGATTAGATTATTACAGATAAGTATAACAGATTACAAATACAAATATAGGCAGATTTTTACGATGAAGAAAAAAAAAAGCATGATGAATGGTTTACATAAAATACAAATGAAATGTTAATAACTAAAACGTGTAAAATGTGTAAGAAAAGCTATATAATAAAATACCATATTTATCTTAGTTAATCAATTTGAGCTTTCCATGATATGCGTAACAAAATACACAATATCCATAAAAGGGTACATAACTTCAATATATATATATATATATATATATATATATATATATATATATATATATATATATATATATTTTATTCAAACATTATTTTGTACCCTTGCGCTTTTATAATGAGGCGCATGTTTTCCGCAGGGATTAATAGCTTTGCTGGACAACAACGACAACAATGCTCTCAATCTGTCGTTAAGAAAATGTAAACAAAACAGACATACGGTTATTAATTGCAAATGCAAAGTGATATATTTATGAGAAAAGACGTTTATCCCACTTTGTAACAGTTTGGCACCGGTGACAAAGAATAAACCGAGAGATATCAAAAAGAAGTAAATAAAAACACAAACTCTAATCCCAACAGACTTCAAATTATTGTTTCATCCAAACCAAAGAATCACTAACATGCACACGTGGTACAATTTCATGAAAATTAGCTGCTGCAAGGAGGGATTGGAGGAAGACTATAGGAAGAATTGCTCCAATTATGACACATGGAAACCATTTCAATTCCCACACATACACATTGTGATCCAAACGCACCGCGCACTGTCACTCAAACGCCATCAACATCACACGCACGCACGCACACGCACACACACAGCAAAGTTTAGATCAGTGAATAAGATTAAGTGTCATTGTCACATAAAACAGCCTCCCCGTGGAGCAGGAGAATAGTTGCTGGAAAAGAGGGCTGATTTGGGAACAGAGCGGCCTGAATGTGATGCTCTAACTTCTTTCCCCACAATCTGGGGGGGCCATTGTCCACTCCCTACTTTTAAAGTAGCCTGACCCTCCCCTCTTGTTAGATAAGATAGGCTAGTTGTAGTCCAAATGAAACGACCCCCCCCTCACCCTGCTTCCCCCACCTCCCTACTGCACGTTCTTCCCCGCTGAGCTCAAATCCAAGGCCGGAGATGTCTGCTCCCCAATAACCGAATGACACCCCTCCGCCTTCTGAACACGTAGGGCCGGAACGTGCGCGTTCATTCTCCAGACCCTCTTTACAGATCGCACTTTAAACAGCGTGATCTGCGAATAAACAAAGCCAGTAAACAATGGAGTGTAGGCTATGCCCACATATAGGAAGAGTACACACACAAGCCAAATTGCACAAGTGTAAACTTTGAATAGGACTCGCGGCTCTGTAAATTTACACAGACATTAAATTTCGTTCTATTCATTTTAGACATATAATGCTAAGCTGATTTTTTTTTTATAGCACACTGATCGATATCTCTGTAAAATAATCATTTTTTTTTAACTAGCGGGGCAGTGAAATCTTTGCTTTGTGCTAAAGTCAACAGTGACAGAGTTTGAGCTCAAATAAATGCCGTGATGTCTGGAGCCCTTTGCAGAAGGCAGAAGGCGAGCTTCTACAATGGGCTTCTGTGCGGCTTGCCAACAACAAGCACCGGCTATTTTGCACAGGTATGAATCTTTTTTATTCCCTATACCAAGGTTCTCTTAAAAAAACAAAACTATAGATGCTTTTTCCAACAAAGAGGGAGAAGTGGTTTGTTGGACATGCATGAAGAAGGGTGGTGGTGGTGGTGGTGGGGGGTGCGATGGGGGGGCGGGGGGGGCGGTGGGGAGTGGTGTTGTTGGGCAAAGGCTGATATCCTAAATTCACGAGGAAGGAGACGTATTGGATTTCACGACAGGGTGGCGCAAAGCCGAGGGGATCTGCAGGTTGTGCGGTGGAGGCTGATTCAGGTTCTCCGGGTCTTTTGAGTTGTGTGATGGAGAAAGATATTCTGCTGCACCGCAAAACCAAACCTGTCCCCTAACAGGTGATTTCGTCTCTTTTGAATGTCACTTAAAAAGCGAAAGAAAAGGACGAGATAATTCAACGTGTTTTTCGGTGTCGGTGATTCTTTTAAAAACAACCGTCCGATCGAATAATCGGTTGACGTGACACCGGAAACGGGTGACCATTGCAGGTTTTAGGGAAACATGTCACCTTATGGCTTTAATAACTTCTTGATTTGGGCATTTTCTGCAGTGTGCGGCCGACTGAAATCGTTATTTGTGCGCTGATGTCATGGACTGACCCCCCTGCTGCTTTTATATTACACCAGTTATCGATTCCGATTTTATTTCAGGGTATAGACATTTTTAAATGATATAATCACATATATTCAAATATATATATATATATACATGTCTTAAACTGCTCATAATTGTGATGGGAAGTATTTTATTAAATATATAATACAAATATAAGTAAATCAGAAATCGAAACGTATTTTAAAATGTAAGTTATAGTTCGAACAGGATAATCATTGATAACCCTCAAATGTCATTTATAATTTACTAGTCATTTATTCAACAAAATACTTCGCATAACAATAATACAATCAATAACAATGATAAAATCGATATTTCTATTAAGTAATCAAATCTATGATAATATTATTTATACCACTAATGGAAAAAATAATATGATAAAGAAACAATTGTCCTATAATTCTGCAAAGATGCCTTTTGTAAGAAAATGTCCATCAGGCCGTAATTGAATATCTTGTCGAGTAGATAAATCAAGAAGATGGAGAGCCCTCAAAAATGTCCATGAGCTCATATTAAACAGTTGTATCCGGACACGGCGCTCTGCCAATCCCTTGAAGGCGGGATAACAGCAGTCAAGCCCCCTCTGGCGCACACCGAGATGGGAATGGCCTTGTGGAGCTTTGCCGGTTCAAAGGTATCCAACCTCAATCTGTACACGGCGGACAAACGCGTGCCGTGGCCACATTACTGCACCTTCCCCATCTCCTAACTTTGTACTGGCTTTCCTTCAAGTGTGACACCTCTGCAGCTCCATTAGCCACACCATAGCAGACGAGCACATCTGTTGTTATAGCAACAGTTTAAAAGGACAGTCCAGCCTGCTGGTCCTTCTTTTCTTTTTTTTTTTGCACCGCTAACCTAATTTCTCTGCATTTCTTGTGCACATTTGCATATTTCTTCATTAAGGCCTGGACTTTCTCACGCAGACACAACGCTGCCCGAGGCATCTTTTGATGGCAGTCTAACTGGCTAAATGTCAATGCGGGGGAATCTGCAGACATTACGGATCGGAGCCTTCCTGTGATAAAGCCTTGTTAAAGTAGAACATAGAAAATGAATAATACAGGCCTAAAAGTGTACACATGAAAACACGTCTGCGATACCTTCTCTTTTCTTTCTTTTTTAAAATCTAACTGTGGGCGATTTACTACTTATTTTCATCCACGTCTTTAAACAGTGTGTAATTTTACCAGACATCCAAAGTGAGACATTTCCCCTGCAGCGATGCTTTTTAACACCTAGACGAGTTTGGGCCTCTTTTCCCCCCCTATTTTCAATGAATGACTCAGTCCCTGGTAAGCCACATGCGCATCCACCCATGGGCGTCGACTGAGCACAGCAGACGGCAGTTTTACGCATAAAAAAAGGGGACGTTGTACATGAAGGGAATGTGATGTGAAAATTCCCATCAAGGGATCAGCCGCTGGAACAGTGTGATCCGTGCAGTCAATCTTCGAAATCGGTCACGTATCTGTGTAGAAATCGGGTGTAGTTATTTCGTTTGGAAAGGTGGTGCTACGGGCTGCAGGCCAGGCTACAACAGGATCGCCTGCCGCACCTATAGGCTCCCTATACGCGGCAGCTCGCGGACTGGAACACCCAAGTAGATCTGTCTCCATGGCGACGGCGGGACACCGGTCCAACAAGCTGTAATTCTGTCTCAGCCTTCTGCAGGGGAGGGACCGTCCACACCAGCCCGATTTAACTCCTCTTTCACCAGAAATACTCTTAATCCCATATCTTAGCAAGGCAAACTGCCGTCCCTCAGTATATTAAAGGGCCCGCAAAGTGAAAACGTAAAGCCACCCATGGCTTCTCAGCGGGCGGCCTGTCCCGGAGAGACGCTGCGTCGTCCCGTCATGCGCCGACCATGTGCGTTTACGTTTAATACTTGTGCTCATTATTAGGCCTTCGATTTTGTATTTCATTTCGAAAAGTATCTGAAACAAATATATATGAGTGTTGATTTTTGTCATATTTATACCGACGATAAAGAAACACATTATGCCAGGGATTAATTTATTTTTGCTTAAATTCTCTGTTGATATGACCAATGAATAAATATTCAGGGCTCTATTGAAACTCCACTGCCGTTTTATTATTCTACTGCTATGATTGGCTTATTGTTTGTATTGGTAATAATCATCACCGGAATTCATGTAAAAATGAAACGGCCACAAACTTGAGCAGCTTTGGTTATTTCTAACACAATTCTTAAGGCCCACACGTAAATATATTTATATCTTGAGGCTTTTGCATATAGGATCCCTGGTAATTCTATTTTTAATATAACACATCATTTAGTATATAGGCCTCCAATAAACACATCTAAAATTGCACGTTGAGAAATACAGACCAATGGATTTGTTTTTTTTGACTATGTGCTTAAATTGTCCTCTTCAGTTTTGTGATATTCTACTTTTAATTGAGATAGTTGTAAATATAAAGAAGTAATAGTAAAGGTAATAGTAATAAATTAAACAAGGCTGCTGGACTACGCTTTAAATGAACAGTTACTGTAGACTGTAATTGGCATAAACATCCCATAAAATAAAAGAAAGTAGAAAGAATTCAACTAAAAATTCTAGCGTTTAAAAATCATGCACGGGTTTCTCATCCTATGGATCATATCTATATGGTTGGATTTGTTGTTCAGTGAGGATATTTAACATAATCTACAACAAAATTTATAAACAACCATTTATTATAGATTTTAATGAGACGTTCGTTCTTCTTCTGAAATATCTTTCTATAGTATAATTATGCATAACATATTTTCACAGAAGTCACGAATAATTTTCAAACAATTTTTGGTCATACAATTATTCTTGAAGTCTTCGCTGGGCCTTTCTTCATAAATATTTAATGGATTTTTGATGGTCACCTTATTATCATTGACAAAGGTGACACTTTCATTTCACTGTTGGAAATTTTCCCACTCAACAACGAGTGAAATATGTGGCTGTCTTTTTTTCTAAATGTACATGTAGGTCCGATTGCGGTTCTGTCATAAGTGAAAGAATAGGTATCTGTCTTGTCTGTCTCTGTGTGTGTGTGTGTGTGTGTGTGTGTGTTGGTTTTAGAGGGATGGCAGAATGGACAGGGTGAGAATGCGGCCGCCGACTGTGATGTGTCCGCACTCCTCTGACACAACTATGTGACATTCCAATGTAGGACTCCTTCATATCCTGAGAGAGAGAGAGAGCGAGAGAGGTCCACCAACAATGCCCATTGAGTATACTGTGAGGCAGCAGCTGGTGGGACGTGCGGTGACCTAAAGGCGATCCATTCAGGCCAGGACGGGGCGCCTCTCAATACTTTGCTGCTTTTATATGCCTGGAAGTGGATGGATGTCCAGTGTTTATTCTTGTAAAGTATTGCGACACAGGTCTGTCGTCATGCAAATGGAGGGGAAGTCGGTCCTTACCAAACCAACCGAAAAAAAAGGGACACACACACCGTGACATGGGCGGTGGAGATAATGTACATGCACAAAAATTGAGAAGACAGCCACAGCCTTTGTTTTCTGTGCTGAAGTGAGGCTCAGCCGCACACTGGAGGAGGGGATTAGCTTCTCAAGGAGAAACACAAAGTGTACAGAAACAGCCCTCCATGTGAGATAATAGATGAGGTCAACCAAGCAGAAAGATACTATATTAGTATGGCGATCAAAGACGCTGAAAATGCAAAGCATTGCTTGAGTTGACTGCTGGAAACATTTGTGTGCATGGATGCACTCGCTTGTGCTTCTGGCTGCTCTTTTTCTCCGCAGGCATTTCCCAGCAGGTCTCTTGCAGGTCTTTGAGATCAAACCTTGTTGCAGAGTGACCATAAAGCGATATGTCAGTCAGCTGTGGTAAAGGGATGCCGGTTCGGCTGTGATTGATCTTCCAAGGTTTCTTTATTCCCCTCGAGGGTAGCCAGGTCTTAGATTCAGCCGTTGCCAGTGCTGATGGATATCTGGCAAATTCTGCTTTGGAATAGTAACCCATTTTATCCCCTTTTCTGACTTATTTCCACTGCGCGGCCCATTCGGCAGCACATGTCCATGGACATGAAAGCCAACATGCTGCAATGTCTCCTTACTTCCCCCTCAGCTCCAGTTCCAGGAAGTGAAGGCAGAGCTTTGCCAGCCAATCACGGCGAAGGACACCCAACTCATTAAAAGTTAATGAAACCTATAAACGTGGTGCGCCAGCGATTCATTTAAACCCCCAATCCAATCTCCTCTCCCAGCAAAGGCAAACAAGCCCGTGTGCCCCCAGTGTCGTCCGCGGAATAACAAACTACGGAATATTTTGTCCTGCATATGTTCTCCTATGCGGACATGTGCACTGTGATAGGCTATCTTACAATGGGAC